AGGGTGGCCTCGCCGGGCATCACCTGGGCTAGGGCGAGGCCAACCCTCGTTCAGGCCACGCTTGGGCTCACCAAATATGATGAAGGCGGCCTCGTCGGTGCTCACCATTGATGGCCATGGCCTTGTCAGCCACCAGAGAAAAGAGGAGGAAAAAAAGAAAGGAAAAAATAAAAAATAAAAAAAATATTTAAAAAAATCCAAGTCAGCCGGTTATGCCACGTAGGTTGGCCGACGTCCACGTCAGTAATATCAATCGAAAGGATTGAATTGGCTCTAGGTCAAAATATTTAGTATTAAATTAACACAATTAAAAATTTTAGGACTAATTAACATAAATGTAATAACTTTATGACTTTTCTGATACTTTTGCCTTGTTAAAAATGTCATATACTATATAAGAAAAGATAATTAAATACTATTCTGATATATTTTGAGCTCACTAAATATCTCTAACCTAAAAGTTAAGGGACAGCCTGGTGTGATAATAAAGCTGACCCAGGATACCATTTGACGTGACAAAAAAAAGGTTATCAAGTATATTTAAAGATCATATCCAACTTAGCGGCATGTCCAATTGATTTTCCAATCCGGTAATTTTGTTTTAGTTAATTTATTTTTCCCTAAAAGTAAGTGTGTCGTTCGATGAATGGTACGTGGGAGAAATTATGATTTTTTTTATCCCCAATACAAAGTGGACCTTACTATTATTATCTTTTTATCTTCTATTCTCCCGATTGTCTCAAGGACAATGGCTCTTTCAAAGATGTCCTCTCGTTTCGAATTCAATGTCGAGTAGTCGCATTGCGTAGTTGCAATTTGTTAATTCGTGAAAGCGACTCCACAGGCGACTAGGCAATAATAATGTGGACTTTTACTATTCAAAGTGGCACTTTTCATGCCGGTCCACAATTCATATTATTTCGATTAATCTATTTCGTGGAAGCACATATGTCTAGATTCAGAAAACGACTTCCTCTTAGTAATTTCTTCTTTTCTTATTCTTTATTTTTTTTGGGGGTTTTTGACTTCGAACATGGGAGTTTCCTATCAATAATAACCGTTCGAAATAATGTCGCACCAATCAAGTCTATCGCAATTTAAATCAATTAAAGGGCGGAAATTTGAAAATTAGAAAAATAAAAGCATCCAAGATCATGTCAAAACATGAGGACATCTCCAAAGGTACAACGAATCCAATCGATGACCGGCGCACTACAAAAGGGGTGGCTCATCTATTACTTGCACCGCTGAAATTGAGGGGGAAAGTGCAAGAATAAAAGAATGATTGAGGATAAAAACAGCACTAACGCCATATTTTCTTTAAATATTTAATTTGTACTTACTATGGGCTTCTCTTCTTTTTCCCCTTTGGAAAAGAAAATTAAGATTAAATGAAAATAAAAGAAGCTTCGATGACATTGATATGTCAACACAATGAAGCTTTTTAGAGGGTGGCCATCCAAAGGTATCTAGAGCCACCACTTTTTTAGGTATGATCCGACAGATGGTATAATTTAAAATTGCCAAAAAACTGATCAAGAAGTAAAATCTATGATGGCACCAACAAGGAGAATATGTAAAAGTGAAAATATGGCTCAATGGGGCCTTTAATTTAAAATCGCTACTTTTTAGCGAGTGATATACAAAAAAAGTCCCGAACCGTTTGTACGGAGATAATTACAAAAAAAAAAATCACAAACCTATTACATAGATGCCAATAAAGTATTAAACTTTTCAATTTGATCAATTTAGTTCTAAACCTTTCGACAATTTGTCAATATAGTACTTCTAGCCAATTTAGACAAGAAATCGTTGACGTGGACGTCGGCCGTCTGATGTGACATGACCGGCGATAATGTTGACAATTTATGCAACTTTTTTTAAAAAAATTCTGAATTTTTTTCTTTTTTTCCATTTTTATTTTTCTTTTATTTAGAAAAAATACAAAAATTATCCATGTTCAGTGCCGCCCAACATTTATGTCAAGGATTTCCAGCGAAAATTGGCCAGAATGACTATTTGGGTAAATCGTTAGAAGTTTTATGACTAAATTGGTCAAATTGAAAAGTTTAGGATCGAAAGCATCCGCATAATAGGTTTATGACTTTTTTTGGTAATTTTCTCCATCTGTACAAGAAGAGTTCTAAATCTTTCAATTCATGCAAGATTTTGAATTTGTTTAACGACTCATATACTTTTAGTGAACGATGCAAGCATAGCTCCTTATTGTATAGGAAATATTCGTGGTAAATTTTTGCCACGTGTCTCGAAAAAGTAATAAAAAAATCACATTAACACTCTTTGTTGTAGTTTAAATCGGATGGAGTTAACGGAAGTAGTTAATTGCACTAACTGAACATGGTTTTAGGGCTTGAGCGCACTATTTAAGAGTTTTGAGATTTGACTACACTTCTGCGATAGATTTAGGGTTTCGGGTGCACTTTCTCGAAAAGAAAAAACATCAAAAGGAAGAGAAAGAGGATTTGTTGCCAAGGACGGTAAAGTTTTGAACATGGAGGCGCGAATTAGAATTAGATTGTGCCTCCATGTCGTTTTGTCCTCGATGTGATTGAGGTGGCATCCCTCTCTCTCTCCTTTTTGTTGGGGATTTAGGGCTATCGTGGTGACAAATGGACGCCACGTCAGCTCCACATGTTTGCACCGATGCCACGTAAGAACCACGATATTGATCTATCGAAAATTTCACTAATAATTATAACTTGGATCGATTAGGAGTAAGTTAAGTATTAGCGCAGGGATCAAATGTAATTATCCCATTGTGACCACAAAAGTTGCAGCTAATTATAGTAAGGTGAATAGTGAAAAGTGACCACCTCACATAGAGCAATGCTAAAGATTAACGACCATAGACTTACAAAATATTTTAAAATATTTTTTTAGCTTAGTATTTTAGCATTTTATATTCGAAAATCATAGACATTTATATATTTCTTATTCCAAATTAAGGTTAAATAGATCTACTAGCTCTAACAAGAGAATCTATGTAATTCTTTTGAAAATGAAGGAACATATATACCTATTTAATGCAATTCCATAAGAAGAAGAGCATCATATGATTTTTTCTGAGTAAGATTAAGATATCAAAGCGCGCCGATGTTGATCAAGATTTTGTTAACTTGTTTCGGCTTATGAAAGTCAATTAAGATTATCTCTAAATTTCCCATCAAAACAAAAGGGTCATTTTATATTAATAGAATTGGTTAAAAATCGAATTCTCATTATCCAATGTCAATAATTAATGTTTACTGAAAAATTTGAGATACTCAGCTCCGTTTGTTTTGTGAAAAATAAATGAGTTGGAAAACATTTTCCTAAAAATGATTGCTCGTATCGCTTAAAATAATTAGCCAATGAAAAATTTTCTCATTATCAATAATAGTTTATGTCTAAACCTTTTCATAGATGACAAAAATATTTTTTATTCATTCATTTTTTGCGAAATAAATAAAGTCCCAGTTAAATAAGAAATCATGATCGGCACACTTAAAAGCAAAGGATGTAGAATAAAACGCAAAAGAAAAGTCAGTCAGAGTCGCAGAACACCCTTGGGTTATGAGCTGATCCACACGACAACGATGCTGAAGGAAATTGACGTGCACGCTTTCGCTAGATTAGGGTTTACACAGAGAAAAATGATCTTCGTTGTGAGAATCTTTGCGTTCACACGTAGAACACGCACGCTGCAGTCCCTGCAATAAATAGGCTCTGCAAATCCTACGTACGGAAAACTACTCGTGTCCCATAAAGCAAATTTCTGAGATGGATTGATCAAGAAGAATGATTACTTAATACCTGACGACCTTGTTCTTCATGTAATCATCGTATTATTCTATTGCCCGTCCGTGTGTGAACTGTGCGTGATGCTGTCTTCCCAGAGATTGGGATGCCCTCCAGGAGACTTTATTCATTTTGTAAGCTGAAGCATCTCACTGCGTCTTCGTTCGCCTGGTGTGTCTTGCGGGAGTGAGAACGGGAGCCGCGTGAAAAGAACCGCCAGAGAGAATCTACACACCGCCCCGAGAGACATGTTTAGAAACGTCACCCAAAAGACATGCTTAGCGTTGTCGTAACTCATCCTGGGGTTGGAAACCTCTTAACTTCATATCGAAGGGGGCCTAAATGTCAACTTCTGCCTGCTTCGTCTATGTCAGTTTTCACGCGGACAGCTTTGGAAACGTCAGACAAAGATATGTTTGTAATCTTGGGGTTGGAAACCTTTTAACTTCGTATCGAAGGACCTAAATGTCAACTTCTGCCTGCTTCGTCTATGTCAGTTTTCGTTCATCCTGTTTCTTGATCTTTGAATATATGTATCGTTATGCATCTCGTTTGGATGGGAGCGGGAGATATTAGCCTTTTTCCACATGAATTTTCCATTCATTTGCAGAAAAAGAACCAAAAGAAAAAGGGTGGGGAGGGGGGGGGTTGGTGGGTGGGGTGGGGTGGGGTGGGGTGGAAATCAGTGTATGTTAGATTGCGAGATACAATAGCATCATGCCACGCGCCATTAGCTTCCAGTCATTCTGAGCACTAAACTAAGACGTGTTTAGAATCATATTCCAGTCAATTTCAACTTTTTTGTTGCCTTTCGGGAGATGTACATGCACCCATTGCGAGGGTCAAGTTTTCTACATAGAGCATTGCTAGTTTTCAACCAGCACTCGTTCTTTCGTACACATGTGATTCACAGTTTGAAATCTCAAACTTCAGTGATTTTGTCAACTTGATCTTCAGAAATAAATAATGTCACGGAATAATGTCAATGACACACGATGATAATAAAATTAACGAAGTAAGACGTAGCGTAAACGATACTACGAGTGGATCGAACCCATCTAAACATATGAACTTCAACTACAGAGAAAAAAAATGAAAAACCACAATAAAGTCTCCAACACAAATTATATAATACGGGGAAAATAGCACAGCCCTCCACACAACGTGGCCCCACAAGCCTTCCATAAATAGTCAACCATGGGAACCCAGATGTTGTCACAATAGAGCTGCTCTTGTGAGGAGGATCACATCGCTCTCTCTCTCTCTCTGAATTTTCAAACATTTCCTTCTTCATCTCCTGTGTAAACTCCTGCCTCCATAACCTCATAGTGTCGACATGGGATGCCAACAAGACCCTCTTGTCCAAAGAGTCTGCGAACTGTACGAGAAGATCTCGGGCCTCGAGTCTCTCAAACCATGCAAGGATGTCAACATGCTCTTCACTCAGCTTGTCCTCACGTGCATGCCACCAAACTATCCAATTGATGTCACAAAACTATGCAAAAAGGTGCAAGAAACGAGGTCCAACCTCATCAAGCTTTGTGGCGAAGCTGAGGGTCTCCTAGAGAGCCACTACGCCTCCATCTTGGCCTCATATGACAACCCGATTGACCACCTTGACATCTTCCCTTACTTCACCAACTACCTCAAGCTAAGCAAACTTGAGTTCAATATCTTGAGCCAGCACCACTCTGGGCGCGAGCTGAACCGCGTCGCCTTCGTGGGCTCCGGGCCCCTCCCACTAACCTCGATTGTCCTAGCCTCTAACCACCTGACCAATACTCATTTCCACAACTATGACATTGACCCCTCAGCCAATTCCATGGCACTCCAATTGGTCTCGCCTGACCCTGACCTGTCCAAGAGAATGTTTTTTCACACCACAGATATTATGGATGTCACATGTGCCTTGAGGGACTATGATGTCATCTTCTTGGCAGCTTTGGTGGGTATGGAGAAGGAGCCAAAAATCAGGGTTATCGAGCATCTGGCCAAGTATATGGCCAATGGCTCGATCTTGATGCTTAGGAGTGCACATGGGGCCAGGGCTTTTCTGTATCCTGTGGTCGAGGCCAGTGACCTAAGAGGGTTCCAGGTTCTCTCGGTGTTTCATCCCACGGATGAGGTGATCAACTCGGTCATCATCGCCCGCAAGTGCTCGGCACTCAATCATGAAAAGGGATCGTTGCTCGGACCCATCATAATGCCTAACAAGTGCTGTGAGATCCACCAGGTCTTCAATCCTCTCAACCATGGGAGTATTGTGGAGGAGTTGACCATTGAGGAGAAATCATCCTAAAGACGCTCCGTTCTATTCTCTCTCTATCTCTAGGTTCGGCTACAAGCGTCTTTTTTCACGCAAGTGTTTTTAACTTGTCGCCTCGGCGATGTAGGGTTTGTGCGTCGTCTTTTGCATTTTCATGTGAAAGTTGCGATCTATATTCGTGAAAGTTCCGGACCTTTGTCTTTTTTATTTTTCTGCTTTCCAGGTGGTTTGCGGATGTTATGTTGTTCCTCTATGTAATCTCATGTAATGACCAATCGGTCATCAAATGTTTTGAGAATTATCTAATATTAGTGAATTGTCCTTTTCTATGGCAGATAACAAGATTGTCGATTTTCACAATATGGAAGTCTGTAGGTAAAGTCCATTTTAAAGACTTGTGCTTTGTATTCAAGCCCAAGAGTATACTGTACTAGTTTGGGGAAAAAAGTAGAAACATCAAATGCATGGAAGTGTGATGTAAGAGCAGCTATATTTGACAGACCAACCGAACTAGCTGGTGCAATGATTTGATTCATCTTCTTGAAAATTATGTTGTTGTGGTTATTCATGTGGGGACTATATCTAGATGATGAGATGCGACAGTGAGTGGAGGGAGGGATGAGATAATAGGAGAAAGAGAGACCATTTTGATTGATTTGTTGAGTGATGTTGCTGCTGCTGTAGCAATGCTGTTTTGTTTGTATCTTGCTATCATGTCGTGTCGTTTCAATGCAAATTGCCCAGAGAGAGAGAGAGAGAGAGAGAGAGAGAGAGAGAGTTTGATGAACCGAAGGTGATGGGTGCCTTCGTTTGCATCTGTTGTTTGGCAATGGAAATGGACACTTCCTTGAAGGTTGCCCCCAATTGATTGGTGCTGTGCATGATTGAATTCAAGGGCCTTTTCCGAATTTTTGTTTTCTTCTCGTTTTGATTGGACCTAAGTTTGCCAGATGAAAACATGGGGGGATAAAGCACCTTTATCTTTATCTTTTTCGAGATTTGTGGCGAGGCCACAGAGGATTAGATGCATGATTTGACCGAGGGGTAGCTTTTTTTTGCATTTGTTTTTCGAGAAAATATTTCGATCTATGAACTTTTATTGAATATTCAATTTAGATTATAATCTGTTGTTTGTCCATCTAGGGTTTTTCTTGGGTTTTTCAATAAAATACATAAGGCAAATGCTTATATGAATTTTTAGCACTATCAACTGACGTGATGTGCTGCAAAAATGTCAACTATTTGTGGCAGGCGAGGGTTGTGAAAATGTAGCAACAGGCATGCGTAAAGAGATTGGAGAAACGGAGACGCTAGTATCTTAGACGTGAAATTCAACTCTCACGTTCTACAAGAAGCAGAACAAAAGTTAGAGAACGAGGAAAATTAGTAATAACACATACCAAAAACATAAAAAAGTGCCGCAAAAATGTTGATTATCATTTTTGGGTAACATTTGCTCGTATGATCAAGTCATGTCCGTGCCATGCGCATGCTTGTAGCGACCAATCGTGACTCAAAATGATCATTAGCAGCAATTCGATCGATAATTGACATATCTCAAGACTTGCATTCAAGCTGTTAAAAATCTGGTGCCAAAAAAAGGCTTCACCTGCCAGAACAAGGGCTGAATTCGTCATTTTCGCTGCCGACTTCGAGATCAGGTGCAGCAGAAACTTCAACACAAGACGCGCGAGAAGTCCCGAGCATTGAAGTCCTGACAATTTGTTGAAATCGGCCTAGGGATGAAGAAGATATATTCGACGCCTCTCAAATCCACTCACGCCTCGTGGTATTAAGATCCATGCACACATTTCCATACGTATATACGAACCCAGCCAGCATGTCGAGTCAATACGAAATCATATACTAACAATCACCTCTACACGGCGTAACGGCAAAGGTACCATCTTTACATGTTGAATCTCACAACTTACATCGATCTTCTGAAGCTTCTTGGGCAAAAAGAACAAAGCAAAGGAAAAAGAAGATTTCTCTAGAGATTACAAACAAGTGGGGGGAAGCTTCAAAAGGAAAAACTTCTCAGCTCCAAAATGTCTTAGAATATATCTCACTGCTTAAGGCAGTATTTGGCGCGGAGATTATCAAGAGTCTCTGCATGCTCGATAGGAGTAGCCTCGCTACAGAATACTTCCTTCCATAGTCTGAGAAGATCTGCTCCAAAAGGAAACTATGGTCAGAATCTCAGTCCACGCGACAATGTTAAGAAGTTCCTATCTCAAATCTTTCCATTTTCCCATTGCCAATGTCGCCAGATTTTTGCACACTCATCAATCGACAAGAAATAGGTGGAAAATGACTGTGACTCCAAAGTGTCATCTATGCTTTCACCCTCTAAAAAATACACCATTCATTCAGCTTCCACATTAGAAGATGTGTAAAATCTCTCATATCCAAAGTTTTCAAAGATGACATCATGATGGCAATAACTAGGCCTAATCTGTTCTATGTTGCCTTCTTGGCGATTGGCATCGGTGTTGACTTGTAGATGCAAAGAGATGCCAATTGCATGGATTGTGATTTGAAAATCCTATAAACATCTGCTCTGTGATTGCTAAGGTCATATATAAACGTTGTGACTACACATGCATGTACAGACACCCACATGTCGACTCCTACTCCCAGGATCAAAGTAACCCCTCGTACACCGTAGATGAATTAGGTGTCAAGAAAGACATATAATGTACCTAGCAACAAAATTTTTTCAGTGATTTTCTAACATAATAAAGAAGCAGAAGGAGCAATCGCTGGAATTGCAGGAAGCAAATGCTCAAGAGTCATCAGAAGAAATATGCATGCCCATGGTAGATGTTACCCAAGCATCGGCTCCTGAGACAGTTTATGAAAGTGTGCCTTGGCAAGCAGCACCATACAGTTGAATTACATCAAGACATCGAGCCTTGTAGTGCGTGTACGTGTCTTTTAAAGAGATCGAAAAGAAGTGAAATTAGTAGGTAAACTATATTTCAGAAGTGAGCATACCAGCTTTATCTTCAGACGAAAGACACATGACTATCATATCGAATCTTGGGACCTTCGTCAAATTATCCAAGTAATTAGCAGCCAAATCTACGTCCGCGCTGTCAAAAGGTAGAAAGTTAATCAAAGCAAATAGCATTAAACTCAAACAAAGTCCAAAGACATCCTGGACAAACATAATAATGGAATCCTCCACTTACGTGAAAAATGTGGCTATACACTTGATGATATCAACCAGTAAAGGAGCAGAGAGTGCATTCTTGAATATCTGTGGCAAAGAACCTGGAGAAGTAACCTGCAAATAACAAACAGAAAGGAGTTGAGACAACGCGAGACAGTTGTTAATATGATTGACTAAAGGAACAGAGCATAAAGCAATCCTTAGATCTATAGCACAAAAATCGAACAACCATATGCTTACTAGTAAAGCTATCACGTTACCACTTTTCAGGCAAAAATTCTGGAGGATCTAGCAATGCTAAAAGTTGGATAAACTAATCTTACGCTGACCAGTTAAATAATTATTACAGAGATGGAAGGACCATCTTCTCTTTCCGAAAGTTCATTAAAGTCGCATACTTATCCAGAAAATAATCTCCTGTCCATTCTCTTACCCAACGAAAGGGAGTGAACGTTAAAGACCATACTCTTAGCATGGACCAAGTAGTGAGCGTCACAGAAGGGACAAATTAGTTGAGCAAACCAAACTTTTAACTTATAGCATCTCAAGATACTATGAGAACAATTAGTTAATGGATATAATAACGAAGCTAAATGATAACAAAAACCTTTAATAGACGAGCTTGTAGAGAACGATCGCCAGAGAACCCTCGCCAAGAAACCTCAAACTGATAGGCTGAATTTGGTCGGGTGATTTTTTTAGCTGCTTCAGACATAGCTCGAGAAGCTGCTCTAGTTGCAAGATCTTGCACTGATGCCTTCAGCTCCTGCTTTCCAGTTCTCTCGTGTCCCTGAAGATTCGCCCCGAGAGAGAGAGAATACAAAACTAAGTCAATAATTCAAGTACGTAAAATTTCAGTTTAAGCTATGCACAAGCTAGACATAATACAAGGCATTTTTGGAAAAAGAAATTTAAAAAAAGCAAAAGCACCATAGAAGATTTTTATGAACGTTCCAGGACAAACAAAAAGCAAGAGAGCTCATAGTAGGACCTTAGATTTCTCTGCAACAGAATCATTGACATCCTTAAAAGTCTTCTTGGAGTCATCTTCACTTCTAGCTCTAATGCTTTTGCTTTTTATTTCCTCAATGTGGACGGAAGACTTCAAGGACACTGGCCCATTGTTCTCCTGCCAAAGGTGTAGAAATAATCAGAATTTACGACCCAGTGTCTCTCTCCCCTTTTATATTATTTCTTACTAACAATCCAGCAACTCATGATGCTTAAAAAAGACCGCTTGATATTTTCACAAAAGAAGCAAATTCACAACCATCTATAGTCTGAAGACTATACTAGATTCTCAAATATGCCATCAATGTCATTGGATATCCCAACGATCAAATATGCAATTTGAAGAATATGAAATTTTGAGGTATAAAGATATGATGTCAGATTTAAAACCCAATTATATTCTGCTCAACAATCAGTAGAAAATCCAACTACTCATAATTCTTGGCATGCTCTTGTTCTTGCAATTCTGCTTGACAGACAATAAGCTGTCAAACAGTTTAAGCTAAGCAGTGATTCCATGTCTTTATGCACAATTGTTTTATGCCCAGAGCAACCGACAAAAATGGTACTCTTTGCCCTCTACTACCAGTTTGAGAGTTTCATCAGGGCAAAAAAAGAAACAGAACCCTCTTCTTTTAAACTTTGAAAAGTCAAAAAGCAGAAGATGAACCGCCCCTTTCCCCACCCCACAAATTAAAGGTAAAAATGGAAGGTCATTTCCCACATCCTGAGTTCCTGTGCAATCTTTTGTTGGAGGCATTCTAGAATTGCAGAAATGGATTAGTCATTTTACATAATGAAGATACCTGCCTAGCTTGCTCAATTTGTTTCTGGTTTCCTACCCCTGCTCCCAGCAAGAAACCACTTCTTTTTCAGAAAAAACTAGAAAATCAGTTCAACTGATGTCAGAGACGTGAACTGATGCAACCATGTTCCTTAGGAATCTACTCCAAAAGCCTCTCAATGTTCACATAATCCCCCTCGCAAAAGATAACTGATTTTACTAAATTCTTGCAATCACACAAAGTTCACAAAATAATTGCAACTCCACTGGTAGATAAACAAAGTTCGGACCTTGCTATGATCTTGAACTGTAGCAGCTTCAGTCCGCTGGTTACTGACAGAGGATGAGTGGATGTGACGTCCATTTTCTGATTTCCCTGATTTCTGAGGACCTTGAAGAGAGCTTCTCAATGCCCCGGTTGCCTTCTTTAGAATCTCCTAGAAGGGGCCATCCAACGAATTTTAATGCTGAATTGGAAACAGTTTTACAAAACAAACTTAACAAAAGAGAAAACCTTCCATGCCTCAGTGCCAGTAGAACCCAAAATTGCTTTTTTTTTTTTTTCTGGGTATGATATCAAGGTGCACTTTCAAATGCATAATTTACTTCATGAAGCTCTCGACAATCTTCTATGATTTTTATCTAGTTATACTGGTAAACGAGGCAGAAGTTACATGCCGAAAACATAAAATACAGGGCCAAGTGCGTACTTTCTCATACAAAGATTTTGCATCTGAATACTGTTTCTTGATTTCTTCATTCTGTGGCTCCAACCGAAGAGCAAACTCAGCATCTGCAGTTAGCTATGATCAATATACCTGGCCTGGCAGATAAGTTGTCAAGATTCAAGAAGATATAACAGGAACATCATAAGCACAAATTATGTTTTCTACTAAAGTCACCAGTCCACAATCTTTCTAAGTAAATGGACATGACATTTTATTGGCTTACATACCCTCAAGCGATTCTTTATATTTTGCAAGTTCTTTCCTTGCTGTTGCTCGGCGTGAGTATGCTTTTATGTATCGATCATCTAAATTTAAGGCCTCTGTGCAGTCATCCTCAGCCTCTTTGAACCTAAGGCACCAAGGAAATAATGACAGGAAAGAAAAACCAACTAATATGTTCCTTCTCAGATTTTCTACGTTATAACTAATCAGAGCATTTCTCCTTCCTGCAGTATAAGTACATGTCTCTCGTGATAGAGAAAGTTAGAGCTCAAAGGGGGGAGTCTTCCCCCCCCCCCCCCCCCCAAACTGAAAAAAAAAAAAACGAAAGAGAGAAGGGGGGTGGGGAGGATACTAGCACCAGCTGTTCTACCAACAGATCAAGCATGCACTGTGAACAGAAGAAAATACATGTCATTTTCGCTGAAGTCCTTTTCAAATATGTATAGCTATTAAATACAGATATTATCACATACACCGACGACCTCATTCCATACCTTCTGATCTTGAGATAGGCCATCGCCCTATTTGCATAAGCTACTGCAGTTGGTGAAAATGCAATGCTTCTTGAATAGCAATCAATAGCTTCATTAAATTTCTTCTGCTTGAAGAACTCATTGCCCTGTCATTGAAGGCATAGATCAAACAAATAGCATGTGCGGCTGATTTCACATAGCAAGAGACAACAACTTTTGATTTTTCAAGCATGATAAGAGGAAAATCCCCACCAGTTCTTTTTCTGAAGCAGCATCTGGAACAGACTCTTCCATTGAGAATCTACCTCCCAGACTCTTTGTGCTATTACCGAGATTGATTCCTGATTTTTTATCCACACTAGGATATCCTCTCGCCGATGACAGTGATTCCTGCAAAAGCCGATGAAAGACTTGACCAAAGTTATACACTCTCAAAGCTTTTCCATACATGTTCACACACAGACTTCAGTGACATAACTTTGGACTGTATAAAATAGATCAAGCAAATGCTGGCTATGCCTCTTGATCTTTCCAAATGAGACCAAAGCTGGTACAGATCAGTTTCCTCCCCAATACAAAATGCAAGAGAATGTCTTGTCTGTCCTCCAAACGTAGAAGAAGACAAAAAGAACACATTTTAACATGTCGATCACTTGATAACCCAAGCAGATGACATCAGATTAGTGCCTAAAAGCAATTTAAGTACTACCCATCTGTTGCATATATATCTGGGACCCAAAACTCTGCATAACTTTTGGGAAGTTCAAAAGGGGGGGAAATGAGTGCATATACTATCACTCAAGCATACGGTCTATGAGCATGTCGATACATATATATCACTGTAACACTTTACCTTGTCGGGTCTTTTCTTCTTGTCCTTGTCCTTGAGTGAAACTTCCCAATCCTGCAAGTCATTCAAAAATCCCTGGAAATCCTGGTGGAATGGCCAAAGAACACGGCAAAGAGAAATCAACTCAACAAAAACTACACCAGCAAAGCACACGCAAAAAAAATGGCAGCTACCCATGATCCCCAGCTACTTCAGCATACCAATTTCACAAAAAAAACTCACAATGAGACCTACCAAAGCAACGATCTTTCTCTAAAGTGCAACGAAACCAAGGCTCCAAGAAAAAAAAAAAAGGGGACGTCCTCACGAGGTCGCAAGTAGCACAGGAACGCTGCCCCAACATCACAGAGGCGAAATTCCTAAACTCTACGAACTTGCCCTCCCAGTTCAATCGCTCGAAATTGCAGCACACGCCAAAATCAAGCGGGAAAATCTAGCTAACTCGAAACGAAACCGGAAACTGGACTCCATCATCATTCACCATTCACTACAATCGCCGCCCCAGAGAGCAACCCAAAAGCCGGAAAGCCGAAACGGCAGCGCGCGTCGAGAACACACTCGATCGCGAGCTACAAAACGCAAGCCCTTCACTTCACAGTATGCCGAGCGCATCATGGAAAGAGAGCGAAAGAGAGCACGAACCAGAGCTTGATCGCGGCCGTGCTTGGTCGGAGCCCGAGCCATGGCGACGCCCCGACGCCGACGGAGCTGAGCACGGCGAGGCGAGAGAGAGAGAGAGAGAGAGAGTGACCGTCGCAGACAACGGAGGCGCGTCGTCGCCGTCAAATCGATTTCTCTGGAAAATTGACGAAATTTGAACTGGGCCGAGCTGAAACCCGCTTCGGGCCTACGAGAAACAGAAGCCTCCCGTGGCCCAATTTTGCAATGTAGTCCCTAAATTTTTAATTTGCTCAATTTGATTCCCGAGCTTTGATTCAATGTGCCATGTCATCCCTGAACTTTTAGTGTGTTCAATGCGGTCCTCGAACTTTTGATGCCTGTTCAATATAGTCCATAAATTACATGAAAGTATTCAATAGTGTTCCTAAAGTTGAACTAATGGAAGGCCAACATTGAATATTTTTATAGACCATGGACTAAATTGAACATGTACCCGAAGTCCAGGGACTGCATTGAACAAATTAAAAGTTCACGAACTACGTTGCACATTTGGTTCAAATTCAAGGAGTACATTGAATAAATTAAAAGTTTATGGACTACATTGCACTTTGAGTCAAAGTTCATGAATCATTTGTGTCGTTTTCCCATTCATAAACTCTCTTATCCATGCCAACGAGTGATCCGTTGTAAACTTGTAATCAATGTTTTAGCAAATGAAACGCTCCGGTCGTCGTCTGTGAGTGAATTTCCGCGTGGAGAATGAAACAAAGGATGAGAGTGAAAGGGCAAGAATGGTGAGAAAAATGAGAGTAAGTCTCGATGGAAAGAAATGAACCAAAGCTTCTGTACTTTCATCGATGAATCCTTATGTATCAGCTTTGTATCTGCATCCTATCCAGATCAGCTATGCTAATGAAGGGAAGATAACAAGTAAAACAGGGTAACGGAAAGTAACAAAATTTATGTTATTAAGCTAAACGTTCCTCGCACGTTTACAAGGACTCAATCACCAAGCTAAATGATGCTGCACCACCGATGCATCGATCGCCAAACGACATCATTCATTTCCCGAACAACTCGAGAAGACTTTTCTTTTTCCCTCCTTTGGCCATTATCAGGCTAAATGGGGGAGGTCATAAGTGTCTATACTGTAAAATCGATTTTAGATGGAATGAAAAAGACATATGGTAAAATCGCAAGCATAGAATATGTCCAGTCCTATTGGTAGGGATACCCATGTCACCTGTCTTTTTTATCCCAGGCACTCTGTTGAATAGTTTTTCTACTCCGCACATCAGCAATGCAATTCATTTTAGCCTCACCTGCATGATGAAGCTTTCACCTTTTTCCTGCACTCCATCTTTGGGTCACTCTGGCCTGATCATATTTGTGGTTGCATGTTGTATATATCCTGACTTTCTTTGTATATCGAAGCTCTGAGGGCAGTTGGTTTCACGGAAAACCATCGAAAACCTTTTCAACAGTGATTTTTAAAACCGATAAAGACCGGCCGGTTCAAATGGTCGGAATGAGAACCGAACCATTGTCCGGGTTTTACTTGAAAACCAAAGTGGTTAAAGACCGGTCAAGCCCGGATTAGACCCCGTTCACCAGGTTTGGCTTGATCGGATCTTTGAAGAAAAGGTATGCAGAGGCGGCAACAAGAGTGATCGAACCCTCAACACGGTTTGAACCGGTAGACCTGCAAACCAGAAGCCAAACTGGTTCTTTGATCGGGTTTAAAAACACTGCCTTTCACTCATTTTCCCAGGAACGAAACGATTTCCCTACGAATGACTTTCTTAGAAATTGTTCTGCAGCAATGTCCGAGTTTTTCTCAAAAAAACTGAGCCCAAATGTGAGTAATTTTGAAAGACTAAGGAACGTCTCCTCACGTCCGAAAGCCGATCATGCTACCATTGAATTCACTGTAATCATGAAGTAAGAAGAAACTAAGAATTCCTAAAAAGGAAAAAGAGGGTAGAGTAAATGTTGCTACAAGTCCAGAGAAGCCAGTGAAGATTGCTCATGGCATTGAGAAGTCGATCCTTCGACCAAATTACACTCGCTTTTGGGGACACGGCTTCTGTGGGAACTCTTGTCTATCGGTGAAGAGATGCTGTTAGCAACAAAGCCCCAGTAAATGCATCACAATCTAATGAAGGGAGCGAAAAAGAAGCTACCTTCGAAAGATCCAAACTACCAGCTTATCAACCCAGATCGACCCAACTGTCCTCCTAACTAAACGCGAGAGATAATTGCTTCAAAATATAAGGTTCCCTGCCACCCAGGGGACAGTATCTTATTCGACTTATGGTTAAGTATCAATCTTACAATCAATTACGTCCAATGATCCACCTTAAATCACCATCAGAAATGAGAAGATCCGCACCAGAAATGTCGTCATTCATGACACTACAAGAAAGACGTCCACTCCATCAGCAGGCAATCAGCGGCTGTGGTTTTTGTTGTATCGCTCTGTAGCAGTTGAGACTGCACAGGGGTAACTTCGACTTTGAATCCCGGTACCTATATGGGTTCATACAGGAGGGAGCAGCGCATTTTTCACGGGGCGGCGGGTAGCTGAAAATCCACATCACAAGGATTTAGTCAGATCAAAATGCAATTGAATTATCACATCAGAAGCTACGCGCTCTTATAGTATATGTAGCAAATTGCGATACCACCAAAATTGCAGAATGTACTAAGGTCTGTGAACATGAGATAGGAGCAGTTACCTGCAAGTCCTAGAATCAAATATACTTGGCAAGCCCATCTCCTCTGGGAACGTGACTACCGTTCTCGCAGGCCCCATAACCCACCTCACTGTGTCCGATTTAATAATCATAGCTTTCGCAGCCTTCTCCTAAACATAATAAAAGGAGGCATACAATTAGTCCCTTCTATAATAAAAAAAACTGTCGCGGGGTATTAGTAAATACCTCGGCTTCCTCTTCTTGTCGTTTCCTGATCTTCTGTTCTCGTTTCTTCCTACTTGAATCTTGGCCCAGTATTTTCCTGATTGCCTCAGCCTGGAAACAGGCCAAAGCTAATCTTAAATTCCTCATGAGGATTCATGCAGTTCACGATGTATTATTACAAATATATAGAGACACCAGAGAGCAACTATGACGATCCATGGTCAAGTGAGCAGAAAAGCTGTTAAAATATAGTGTGAGAATAAAAACATAGAAAGCCAACCTGAGATTCCATAGCTGCTTTCTCAGCCAGCATCCTACGTCTCTCAGCAGCCTCAGTTTTCTTCAGTTGCCGGTCAACTTCAGAGAGCATATCCTTTTGCTCTGGTCATGGCAAACGAACTTCCTCAATCATGTTTGAGCATAATAATCTTTCAAAGAAAAAAAGCACAGAAGAGGCGTCAGATAACTCACTTTTAGGTGGTGCAGGAGGTAAACCATTTGGAAGATTGACCATATCTGCACAGCGACCAGAGAATGTATCTTTGCCCGATTGCAGTGCCCGCTGACGGGTAATCACTGTCCTCTCCTTTTCAGAACCCGCTAAAGACTCAAGACGCGCCATCTTGTCTTTCTTCCTCTTAATTCTGGGTTCGACATCCGAAGTCGGTTCTTCCTCTTCCAAATAATCATCATCTTTAAATGTCCTGCCAGATTTGGACTTTCTAGCTTTTTTCGCTGAAAGGACATTTGTCCGAGAGTTCACGTTATGCGGGCACTCAAACTGTCTCTTCAACACCTCTGATAGTTTCTGTTGTCTCCTCCTTCCCCCTTCGTAATCTTCGTCACACTCATCATTGTCCTCGGCATTCAATCTAGGCACATTAACCTTTCCTAGAATCTCATAATCATCACCTCCATCATCCCCATCGAATGTACGTCTTTTAGGAACTCGCTTGCTCTTGCGTAGTGACTCACTACCGCTAGAAGAATCCGCCTTCCCCATGTTGAAACCACTAGCAGAGAAATTCTTCCACCATGGCACCCCTTGCAGGCGACTTGCCCTGTCTGAAGAAAGAGAGTGAAATCTAGAGGAGCCATCCTAGAGAGAGAGAGAGAGAGAGAGAGAGAGAGAGAGAGAGAGAGAGAGAGAGAGAGAGAGAGAGAGATTAGTTAGCTTAACTCGAAATACATTAAAAGACTATTGCATACTCTAAGTAGGGTCCATCTAGACCACTCAATTTATTACCTCAAGCATTGCATTTTCATCAAGCCCCGTCATATCTGAAGTGCCACAATATTTTGTTGAAGAGGACCCAATGACTGAGACACCATCCGAGTTGGTGTGGATGGTTCGAGTCATGCCCCCAACCTTGAGCTTGACTTTTTTCACTTTATTCTCAATCACCGGTGGTGAATGATGAGCCACTCCTTTGGCTACTTCGCAATTAGCAGGGGCAAGAGCACATTCACCAGATGTATTGGAATCGGTAGCACTGCGCATCTGTTCGTTTCCTCCGCAAGAACTATGCGTGGAGGCATATTGAGATTCTCCAGCATCTGCCGTGTTATTGCATGATGCACTTGAAGCAAATTGCTTCAGATTTATCTCCTTGTGAGCATATATACCATAATCCACATTCTTGTCAACATAAGCTTCACTAAAGTTGTCAGGAGGTGGTGTGGAAGATGCCATGTCAATGTAATTATAAGCCGGTTGCGGCTCATCATAGGGACGCCGAGAGGCATTGCTTCGTTTCTTCCTTGCTCCATTCCCCAAATGAAGAAGCCTGCCACTTCCTTTTCCCTCCATGGCTGATGCAAGATTGTCCTAATGTAGCCATTTATTTCCAACATGAACAAACCACGAGAGAATGTAGTTGAGACTGGATTCCTCAAAAGTGTAAGGAAGAAAACAAAAATCAAACATCTTTCTCTCAATAAACAAAGTATCCGACAGATAAAGCTTCTCACATTCACCTCTTACAAAACAATCCCCACCATAATGATATTTTAGACAATGTGGTAGGATCAGAAATGCAGCAGACATCAATCAGTACCATCTCTACTTTGGGAAGCAGTCTGGTTTTGGTACAATATGGTGAACTAATTAATCGACTAGATATTCAAAAGTATCAACTTTTCATTTGATTACAGCACTACTTGTTTCAACGAGTAGTAATGGACCTTCTTAAAGTCATGAAATAGTTTTCACCTTCCTATAGCTGGCTCTCGCAGTAACAAACTGCTGAACCTTCACAATCATTTCGGCGCAACAATAACAGGAGCCCGGAAATCTAACATTACTTTCCTCACTTCAAATTCGGGGAAGAATCAAGAATAAATTTTTCCAAAGAAAAATACCTAATATGGAAAAGACATTTCACAGTCCACAGTTCATGAATTGCGATCAATCCGATATAACTAGTGTATGCTCGGAGCAACGTTCAATGAGCCCGACCAATTACTAAAATACCAAACAGAGCACACCAACAACAATACCAACAGCAGCAAACAAAACAATACAACCCGGAAGAAGTTGCAAAATAAACAAGCACTCCGATGAACAACCAAATGAATATGACAACATTAACCAGAAAAAAAACACACTACCCTGCAGAATCATACACGAAAAACAGGAGAAATTGTCCTATAAAATGAAAATACAAGCCAAAATCCTCATGTAGACGAAACAACAACGCACCACTCAGGTCAGGAATTTCAAGAATCAGGCTGATTCTTCACAAGGCGTGAAACTAGCAAAAACCCACGACCCACAAGCGATGAAAAAACCATTCAACTCAGATTAAACACCGCAAGAATTTGAAGGGCTGAAAGATATTCCAAAAAGCTGGGATTTTTTACCTTCTCGACAGGAGCACTTCTAGGCCGCCATGGAGGGCGAAAACAGAACTGGGTCTCCGGCGAAACTGGAGTTGAAGCTCGGTTAAAGAGACAAGAACCTCAATCGTTTAGGTTTCTGCGTTTGGGGGGTTCTAGGTTCGTCAATCCTAAGCAAATTGTGCAGTGACTTGGAACGATGAACTCCACCAGATTCGAATGGTTCTGTAAGGTCCTCGAAGATTGGGACACTGTTTCGTGGATTCTCTCTCTCTCTCTCTTTTTTTTTCCGTATTTTCTTTCATAGTGGTAAGTGCAAGTCCACGAACTCGTCACGAATTTGCAATTAAATACCCAAACTTTCAAAAAAGTATAACCAATTCTAAAACTTGTTACTAAAATATAATAAAATACTAAAACTTTCAAAAAGTACAATTAAATCTTAAAATTTAGAGTTAATACCATGACAAATCTTAAATCGATACATTTGTGATAAATTTATCACGAATTAATTTTTTTATCACCAAAAATCTCAAACTAATATATCTATTATAAATTTATCTCAAATTACAATAAATCCCAAACCGGTACACTTGTACTAAATTTACTATTCGTTACGAAAAATCACAAATTGACAAACTTGTGACAAATAGAGGGGTGAGACCCCAAATTGGTATACCTATGATAAATTTACCCCAAACTAATATTTTGACCTCCAAATATCCCAATTGATACACTTGTAACAAATTTACTATTTGTTAAATTGGATTAATACCATAAAAAATAGTGAGAAATTTACCTCAAACTAATTTTTTGAACACGAAAAACCCCAAACTGGTACACCTGTGATAAATTTACCCAAAATTAATTTTTTGACCACCAAAAACCCCAAACTGGTACACTTATGACAAATTTACCCTATGTTAGTTTTCGTTAAATTTTTCTGTCAAATTATTGAGTTAGATGACATGTAACAATTGATGGGTATATTTTCTTTTCCTTACCAAAAAAAAAAAAAAACAATTGATGGGTATTACCACCCACTGGTGGCTATTTGGAGCGCGCACTCTTTCTCTCGCAAAAGGTTGAGTGTTTGAATCCGGGCGCCGCGGGTGACTTAACGGCACGTGTGTGGTGGCTAGCACGTGTCGCCCTCAAGATTTACTCCCATGTCGGCCGTGCGGGGATTCCACTGGGTTACCAAAAAAAAAAAAACAATTGATGGGTATTTCTTTACAAAAAAAAAAACAATTGATGGGTATAACCTTTACCAAAAAAAAAAATAGTTGATGGGTATACCAATTTGGGGTTTTACCCCTCCGTTTGATATAGGTTTATCAATTTGTGATTTTTCATGATATTAATCCAATTTAACGGAGGGTAAATTTGTTACATGTGTACTAGTTTGGGGTTTTTCGTGGAATTAGGATAAATTTGTCACATATGTACCAGTTTGGGGTTTTTCGTGATAAAAAAATTAGTTTGTGGTAAATGCATCATGGGTGTACCAGTTTGATGTTTTTTGTGATAAAAAAATTAGTTTGGGGTAAATTTGTCACATGTGTACCGATTTAGGGTTTTTCGTGATTAAAAAATTAGTTTAGGGTAAATTTATCACATGTGTACCAGTTTAAGGTTTTTCATAGTATTAACCCCATAAAAAATCACAAATTGGTAAACTTGTGACAAATAGAATAGTAAAATCCGAAACTGGTACACTTGTCAACGCCCACGCGTCATCTAACTCAGCAATTTGATGGTACAATTTAACGTAAACTAACTGAGGGTAAATTTGTCACTGATGTACTAGTTTGGTGTTTTTTGTGGTCAAAAAAATTAGTTTGAGGTAAATTTATCATAGGTGTACCAGTTTGAGATTTTTCGTGGTATTAATTTTAAAATTTATCACGAAAGTATAATCGAGTCCTATAACTTTCAAAAGTGCAATCAACGAAAGGAGTTAATTGGATCAATTTAACAAATTTTAAGACTTAATTATATTTTTTTGAAATTTTTAGGACTTAATTGTATTTTGGTGACAAGTTTTAGGACTTAATTGCACTTTTTGAAAGTGTTAGGAAGTTTTAGAACTTTTAATGCACTTATCTCTTTTCTATATTTATTTTAGGGTGGGGGACAATTAATCTTGTTGGGGAAATTGGACAAATAAGTGTAGTACACGTTTATTCCCGAACCGTTATACTATATATACATCATGAATTTTCGTATCTTTACATACACAGTTTCTTCGAACTAATTATACAATGTAATCATGAACTTTCCTTTTATTACAGCTCAAAAGTTCATTACTTTTTCTGTTAACACTTGCATTGCACGTAAAAAAAAAGAAATTATTTTGGGATAAATTTATCATAGGTGTACCAGTTTGGAATTTTTCGTGGTATTAATTCAAGAAAAAAATACACAAATTAGATAAAAAGTAAAAGTCCCTAAAAATGAAAAGATCAAATGACAAAAAATTGTTTAATAATGGTTGATTGATGACAATATTTAAAAAGATTATAAAAGGAAATGATGTCCTCAACTGATAAAAGAAAATGATCAACCGAAATTTAAGACAATTTTCTAAAATATTTTTTATCGATCAATCTTTTTTGCATTAATTAACCGTTTCAAAGTGCATAATGACTAACCTATTTTTGTGATCTATTCTACTTAATTTATTTTCCTCCATATTCTTTCTTCATTTTTACAAATATCAGTGGTAAATAACAGATCTCCTTAAAAAAATGAGATGAAATACTTACTTACCCCTTGAAGTTATTTGTATTACACATGCTAACGGAATATTTGATGGAGGCTTAGGTGCATAGAATACCATTCGCCAAAGGATATTTTAACAAAAAGATTTTTGATTCGTATGCGGAAACAATTTCGAGTATTTGAAGGCGTTTGATAAACTGTCCAAAATTTCTATTCCTAGAGTAGAAAAGAACAGAAATTTAGTAACTACACAAAATTCGTTCCCAAATAATATTTTAATAATATTTTGAATTGTTTAATTTTTTTCTTTCTACCCATTTTCTTCTTTGGCCATGGCGTCGCGGTCGACAACCGCCACGCCAGGGCGAGCAGGCGAGGCGAGGCGGGCGGACCCTCGCCGCGGGCGAGCCGAGCTCGCCGTCTCGGTCGCGACGGCGAGGTCGCCCTCTCCCAGGAGACGGCGAGGCTCGGCCTCGCCCAGGATCTGGCGAGGCCGAGCCTCGTCGTCGCAACCCACGGCGAAGCCGACCTCGCCGTGGGTCGCGACGGCGAGGCTCGGCCTCACTAGATCTTCGCCGTGGGTCGCGACGGCGAGGCTCGGCCTCGTCGGATCCGGGCGAGGCCGAGCCTCGCCGTCTGGGCGAGGCCGACCTCGCCGTCGCGGCCAGACGGCGAGGCTCGGCCTCGCCCGGGCGAGCGAGTCCGGCCCTCGCCCTCGCGGCGAGTGCCGTGACGCCTCGCTGGCCTGGGCAGTGGCCGCTGCGGCCGGCCCAGGGAAGAACAACACAAAAATAAGAAAAGAAAAAGAAGAAAAAAAGCTGATTCTCAAAATTGTCTTGAAAACAAGAAGCAACTTTTTTACTTCTTGTTTCTCTTCCAAAACTGTTTCTCGGCACAAATTTTTGCAAAAATGTGCCGGGAACAAAAAATTTACCAAACGCATTTCTATTCCCAAACTATTTCTAAACAAAAGAACAGAAATTTTCACTGTTTGGCACGTTGCCAAACGGGCCCTTAACGGTGATAACAAAATAAAAGATCATGAGAAATAATGTGTAACAATTCAGAGTTTAAGAGCCAATGTATACTAATTCCAAAGTTTATGGGAGTTTTAGGAAAAATTACCCTAAGTCTATTGTATGGCAGCCAATTCAATCATAAATCTTTCGATTGTATCGATTTAGTCCTAAACTTTTGGACAATTTGCCAATTTAGTCATAAACTTTTTAATTGTGCTATTAGTTCCAAAACTTTTGATGATTTGCCAATTTAGTTTTAAACTTTTTAATAATTTGCTAATTTAGTTATTCTGGTCAGTTTTGACTGGAAGTAGCTGGCGTGGATAATTTTTTTAATTTTTGAAATTTCTTTGTTTTCCTTTCTTCGGATTTGGTGATGGCAGCCCATGCCGGCCCAAGCGAGCACGTCCCTCGCTAGTCTAGGCGATTTGAGACAAGGTCTATTTTGAGCTCTTTTTTGAAAAAACGGTCCCATATCATACCCTTATTTGAAATTTTCCAAATACATTTGCACAAATCCTTATTTGTCCTTGTAGTGTAATAATTAACTCTATCCTTCGTTCTTTCTTTTTCTAATTTTCGAATGAATTTTACCAAAAAGTGCCCCGCACTTGCTAAATACTCATAGAAAGAAAGATTTTGATTTCCAATACACTATATTTCTCACGTTATGCGTAATCATGCGTTGAAAATCAAACAATTTCTTTATTAAGTATTGATTACTGAGTGCCCTAGAGCACTAGTTAACGAGACCCGTTTCGGATAAATATTTTTTTTTAGTTTCTGAAAGAATAGGAAAATAATCTACCAAAATCTGTTCTCTGGTAAAGAATCCGTACATAGTGACAAAAAAAATAATGTCCAAAATTTTATTGCGTCGTCCAAACGAAGGTACCAATCTTATTGTCAATTCATCATGACATTGAATAAGGCGCATGCGTTGTATAAGGCATCTTTTGAATACTCCCGAGTATAGAATTGCCGGTGAATGACGGAAGACGGAAGAAGTTTCACGGGGGACTCTACGCTTATCAGGCATGCCAAGAAAACTTCAACACTGTCTAGTTCTTGACCAATTTAAGTTGCCGCTTAGACCCCTTCGGTTGCAGTACAGACTCTTAGTTCATCATCAGATGCACTCAAGTTTCGCACAAAGATCGCGATTCCTAAAACCACTCCACGTGTCGACCAGTCCGGTCCGGTGAATCATACCAAGGTTCAAGAAGCGATCTGACACTGTTCCGGATCATAACGAATGGTGAATTTGTATCCATGTTAGGCCTGGCGTCGCGTCTACAAGTATATATAGCCTGCACGAGCCATTTTGATTCGCGATGCAGAGACAATGCTTCTGCATCTGATATATTGACTAACATGGTTGCCTCGATTGCTTGTGCAGCGAGAAAGTCCTAATCCCGTCTGTGAATCAATACGTTTACCTTGAAGGCGATCCGGCATGGACGCTGGAAGCACTAGCAACAGCCCCACTTTCAAGCTGTTTGCAGATAATTTCGCGGCATCGAACATAACCTTCAAGGTTAACAAGGAGCTCTATTTCCGTGACTCAGAGAAATTACGCACATATTTTTACCAGGAAACAGTAGAGCCAGAGTAACTAAATTGGATACGCATTTGTTATTATAGAACAATTACAACAACTTGTTAGCAGACGCCAGCAGCGTACACATCATGGTAGACCCGACTGCTCTGATCTCAGGGGACAAGGCCTCCTTTTATGCGTGCGGATTTCATAGCATGCAAGACACTCTCTTGGACTGACATGGCCGCCATTACTTCAGGAGCTGCAGATTTCATCTGGCTGGTCAGTGCACAAGGTAAAATTATCCGATCAAATGTCAAACCAACCTCCTAAGATAACTAATGTTAGTACTGAATATGATTATTGAGATCCACTATTGTCATGCAGGATTGCATATTGAACAGCACATCTGCGGTCCTCGGCAGCGATGTCTGTGGCTATATCACGGCTCAGGCCGAGAGGGAGACGCCAGACACGAGCGGCTTTGTGCTTAAATTTTGAGAGGAGGTGGGAAATGGCCAGACATACCTCAGGAGGGCGTATCGGGCATCCTCAAGAGTCCTGTTTTACGAGATGTTCGCAAGTGATGTTGCCGTGCCTTCGAATGTTGGGATGAGTGGGACTATAGCGGCCATGAGTATGATCTACTTTTTCCGACTTAGATAACTCCAAATGGGCAAGAACTAAAATCAAAGGCCGAAGTTTAGTGTGCTGATGTTGGACCTTGATTTTTCCGGACCGTTTATGCCGAGTTGAAGTGCAACAGAAAGGGCGCCATGAATCTGGCCGAGTAAGATGGATGAAAAACTCAACGACCCTTGAATTGTATAAGCTTCTTGGCCCGGTTTTTATTGACGGCGAAAGGAGGATAAGAGAGCAACCGTTCTTCGAGTCCCTTAAAACGCGAATGCTTATGTATATCTGGGCTTCTTTTAGGTCATTAGTTTCATGCATATGTCAATTGTAGAGAAGGGCTGGAACATTTTGATGTCTTTTAGTGTGCAGATTTTACGGTTTGTTGAAGCCAGATCCGAACATCCCGGCACATTATAAGGAAGATGAGAAGCCTTGCTCAAGACCGTCCACCCTAATTTGAGGAGGAGGAAACATCATTTATTTTTGTCTTCCATTTTTTAAAATTTCGTAACTGTTGCGGGTCTCAACTTATTTGCATAATAACTTCAAGAGATTTCCTAATTAAGGTCATGAATTTTTTTTTAAGTGGCAAAATTTTTTTTTTTTTATGAAAGATGTCCTCGGCGTATGCACAAAGATGTTGGGCTTTGCAAACGGTTTGAAGTAAGCATGGTTCTTAAGTTGTTAAGAGAGCTCAAAACTGCAGACCAGTTCACCTGCTATCGATGAAGAAGCTACTAAAACTGATCTGTATTCGTCGACAAGTTCTTTTCTTTTTTCTTTTTCGAAAGCTTCTCTCGACTAACTGTAGCTAACTTGACCGATCCCTTCTCTGCACGACGAATAGGAAGCTGATGGTTGCAGGCTATGTGACCGAACGAGCTGTTCGCATTTCCGGATGAAATAATCTCGGTTTATACGTAAAAGACTAAAGTGATAATTGCCTCCTTGACAGGAGAACTACACAAAACAATGAAAACATGTGCTAGACACATGATGATAAGAAATGCTACTTTTGACCTGATAAATTTCTTACTTTTTGTAACTTTCGATATCATTGACAAAATTATGAATCACGACTCGTCCGTATAAAGACATGTTCGAACATTTCCGTAACTGGATAGATTTTCCTAGAGAATCTAAAACGTATCGTGTAGTAGTATTAGTTTTAAATTAATCATATTCACGTCATGTCGAATCATGTCATTTGTTTCTCTTAGTAACATTGTCAAATTTCCGTATGCAATTATACGTCGAAACATGATGGCATATTATCAGATCAACTGAATTTTTGTACCCTTCATCATCACCATCATCTGTGTACTTACTGTGACCTTCTCTTCTTCTCGCCCTGGAATAGCATCTTCGATTACAATTACCTCGTCCACGCTTATTTTGTTTGTAATGGCAACTTCAGATATTGTCTTTTCTTTCTCCTCAAAGGAACATTCTTTCTATAAGTCGCCATTCAGAACTTTTGCTCGTCTGCTATAAGTGAAGTTGGGGAGTGAGGTTGTCCAATGCAGTCCGGGCATTATTCTTCTTCTGTATCATCATCTGTCTTCTTTCTCTCAGGATGTCTTCTTTTCAACTCGTCCTTCACTTGACGATAGGTCTCATGTTCATTTCCAATGCATCGGACGCTCGTGAATCTCCAAAGACCACCATATATGTGGACAAATCCGGTTCGGGAAACTATTCCTCGGTCCAAGAAGCTATCAACTCCGTCCCGGACAATAACGATCAGTGGATACGCATCGTCGTCAAACCGGGCACCTACGAGTAAGTTCAGGCTGAAATCACTCTTTTTTTGTTTCCATGGAAGCATATGTTTAGTGATAGCTTCAGTAATGATTGATTGTCTGGCTGGTTCAGTGAAAAGGTGAACATTCCTCTCGCAAAACAGTACATCTTCCTCCAAGGCGAGAGTCACAAAACGACCACCATCCGGCACTGGGATGCGGGAAATGCCAGCACGGCCGCCACTTTCCAGCTTTACGCAGATAATTTCGCTGCGTCCGACATTACCTTTCAGGTTAACAGACTCGATAAGATCTCTATCTCTCTCTCGATCTCTTGTGTTTCGCTTGACGATAAGTACTGAGATTTACTATAGTCCCTGAGCTAGAGTAGTTCATACGAAATTCACGTGCAGAACAGCTACAGTATCAAGAAAGGGGAAATAAACACGACTCGCATCACATGGGCCCCGGCTGCTCTGATCGAGGGTGACAAGGTGTCGTTCCGCAGGTGCGCCTTCCACGGCATTCAGGACACTCTCGCCGACATGAAAGGCCGACATTACTTCGAACAATGCTTCATCTCAGGAGCCATAGATTTCATCTGGGGCCACGGCCAGTCGGTGTATGAGGTAAAGAAGAACAACATACCAATCGAAATTAAATTGGAGATTTCATCCAGATGTTAATTTTCTTCTCTTCTGAGAGCCGCGACCCTCCTGCTGTTCGGACAACAGGATTGCCTGGTGATGACCATAGCCAACTACATTGGCTGGGACGGTTATGTCACGGCGCAAGGCCGAGAAGGAGCGAACCAGCCGAGCGGGTTTGTGTTCAAATCTGGCCGGGTGATCGGAGAAGGCCGCACGTATCTCGGGAGAGCGTGGCGGCGGTACTCGAGAGTCCTATTTCACGAGACGAGCATGAGCAATGTCGTCGTGCCCGAGGGTTGGTCCTCCTGGACATTCCAAGGCCATGAGTAAGAATTAAGATCTGCGTCTTCTTTGCTAAATGTACTTTGGTTACAGAGAAAAAGACCCTTGTGCTTAACCACTGTGGATACAGAGAAACAAAGAAACTACAAGTCGGTCTAGTACTGTTTCAAACTCTAATTTCGATACAGGGACGATATCACTTTCGCCGAAGTCGGATGCAAGGGGGAGGGCGCCGGGGATTCCCGGCGCGTGAAATGGATGAAGCACCTTTCGCCGCAAGAACTGGAGCACCTTCTCTCGAACAGCTTTGTGAACAAGGAAGGCTGGATCGAGGCACAACCTTCTTGATACATAAGAGATTCAGACAACCACACCCATTACTGATAAGTTATTCCATCAAATGCGAAAGTGGCGCCTGTTGGAAAAATTTGGATGAAATGGAATTGGAATGTAGTTGGACTTTGATGCGTGTAATTACTCTTTTTTAGGATCAATTTGGCCCATGAAGTTGCTATAGGTTACTGGCAAATTCCCTTCGGGATACAATAAAGTCACAATGAGATTACTTGGATAACAATTCTAGTTAGGATGTGCAAAAGAACCGAACCGCCTGCACCACTCAGATTAGCCCGAACCGGCCTGTTCCCGGTTCAATTTTTTGGAACCGGTGGGTACGGTCCTGTTCCGTCCCGATTCACGGTGTGAACCGCCCACCCGCCCACCAGGACTCGGACCGGTAATATAATAATAATATATTTATTTTTTAATTTTTAATTTAAAAATCTGACCAAAAAAATTAAAAAAAAAAAAAAGAAAATAGGAGAGTTGTTGTTTTGTTTGCTTGCTGACTATTGTGAACTTGTGGCAAACTCCCACGTGTGATATATAATATAGGCTACGGATGTATTTGATGTGAAGCTTGTGAAATTATAAACTTTGTGACGAATCTTATTGTGATGTGTAATTGAACTTTGTGGCAAATCTTGTTGTTATTATTTCTGAGGGTTTTAGGCTCATTCAATTTGTTAGCTTAAATTAGAGCCTCTTGACTCTTGAGGCTTGAGCAAGTTGTATAAAAGCTTGGAAAGTTGTAGAGGGCAATTCTGCATCAGGCCATTTTAGATGAAAGTGCATGACTTCTGCATCAGACTAGTGACATCAAATGCCAAAGTATGGGTATTTTGTGTACACTGAAGATACGTCACACATGTGCATTAAGATAAGTCAAAGTAGCATGTGATGAACACAACCCACCAACGGGCAAGAATTAGACCGGTCCATTTTTTAATTTGTCCAGGAAAACTTAGTGGGACTGGTTCCATGGACCCACCCGGGAACCGGACCGGACCGGCGGTCCGATTCTCGGGTGGGTCCATTGAACCGTTGGACGGTTCTCGGTTCCAATTTTTTGGAACTGGTCCTTAGCGGGCAATCCACGGTTCCGGGGTGGGAACCGCCCACCCAAACCATACTCACCCCTAATTCCAGTAAATCTCCTAAAACTCTCTGCGAAACAATTGAGAAAATAGCTGTCTCGTTTTTTTTTTCTTAAGGAAAACGAAAATGAAGGGAGTTCTGTTCATCTGTAAAATTGAACAAAATTGTCCAATGTATATAACACAAATAGAACACACCTCTTGGTGTCTAAACTGCCAATACAGATACACACATTCATGCTTGAAAAATTGCAATTCGAATGTAACCCTTCATGTGTGAAAATCGCCATTCAGACACAACCCTTCATGACACAACTCTTCAAACATGAAAACTGTCATGTCCTAAAACGAATAGTTTTGTCCGAACAGTCACAAGTCAAAAATAAATAAATAAATAAATTGTTGATTAAGTGCGCGTAATAATTGCGCACTCGCACGCAGGTATTGTAAGGTCTAACTCATTTACCCATTTTCTCCATTTTCAATAAAGGATAATATTTTAACTTCTAAATAGACCAAAACTTTCGTTTCTTTCCTACGTGAGACAAGGAAGAAGCCTTTTTTGTTTGTTTTACAAACAAACACCAACAATCCCCCACTTTATTTATAAAACAAATAATTTAAAAAAAATAAAAAAAAAAGATACAACCAAATTTCCATGAGATCAATATACATACATGAAGGTCTCTTTCAAGTTAAACCTTCATTTAGTACAAGTATCTCAAAGCCCTATCAAAGTCACAGGTAGCTGCTAGCTTTAAACTTGGTACTTTTAGTAAAAAAACCGAACATACTGCACATATATTAATCTCTTGTTTCAACGAGAAGTTTATAATTTACTTAGTACTGTTATGACCTTGTGCTTGTACCTTTTCATGAGTTCTCTAGAAACAACTCTAACTTTCGTAATAAGCGACACCGCTTCTAAGCTCATATAGGTGAAGTATCTATCACGTGTTTCTATTACTAATGAACATGATACATTAATATATTATACTTCATTAAGAATATAATTCAACCTCTAAAACGTAACAGATGATGCTGATTCTCATGCAAGGGCTATGTCAGTATCATACAATCACTTTCAGTAATTTGTTCTTACCCATTAAATCATATAACTAGTGATGTGCTAGTATTTGGTCGGGTTACCATTACTGGTGATTTTAGTTAAAGGGTTTTAGCCCCATTTCTTTTGAGCTCATTTTTACTACCTCTCTTGGTAGTGCCTTTGTAAAAGGGCCAGCTAAATTCTTACTTGACCTCACGTAGACAATTGTTACGGTGGTACCATTCTGAATCAATTGTCTCGCGTACTCCTGCCTTAAGCTAATATGCCTAAACTTACCGTTATAAGTGCTACTATAACAGCGCCAACCGCGTAGTCACTAGAATCCTCTCCAATGCGGGTTTTCCTTATCTCTTGTAAGAGATTCGTTCGAGTTTCCATGTTAATATCGGATTTTTCCGATCATCTGTGTGCCGAGAGTTTGCATATGACAAGCCTCGAGCAAGGGTCGTGCGCACGCCTTGACATAGCACGGAACCGGAATGAATATGAGCGCAACCGAATCTTCTGTTCATCTGATTCTGTCCTAATTATGTTATACCGTAGTTGACAGTGAGGAAATCTTCATCTTGATCTGGTCTCTCGCCGTTTGATCAAGAAGCTACAGGCTAAATAAAAGCATCGGTCTTATAAAGAGTGCGAACGATTAGACCAGTTTCTCAAACTCACCCACTAATTTATTCGAAATTTTACGGCTGTTCTAAGTAAATTATCAGCACTATAAAAAATTACCGACATTCATATGAATTAGTTAATCACTGACTTTTCTGAAATTTATGTGTGATAAGTGAATTACAATAAATTTTGTCCCTTTGAGATTAACCATGAAATATGCTGTAATTTTCCCCCAAACAAATAATTTAGTAACTTATTTCAAATTCTAAGAGCATGGTTTGCAATTTACCATGATCAGTTTGCCAACGTTCAAAACAATTACAATGTTATAATGAATCTCCTAATGTTTAATTGGTTATTGATGAGCAGTTTTTTTATATGTCAATATATATTTAGTGAGGTTTGTAACCAATATAACTTCTTACAAGTATTGTTAATAAGTTACCAAATGTTATAATTAATTATTGTTAAGGTGATTATTGATGTTTTCGATAGGTAAATAGTTATTTATGTTAGAATTGTTACGTTCTTTAAGATTTGATGTTATTTACATCAAGAACCAAATGATTACAATTTCAATAAAAAAATCAATATTATTTGAAAATATAACGGTGCTAAAAAATGCATTTTCGAGATTGGATAAATCTATAATTGTAACAAGAGTCTTTTTTCCATAACGTACACTTTTTGTCATGCGCGATATGCTTGTGTGAAAAGTTGAATAAATATGGTAAGTGAGTTTGTTCCCGTCATTTTAGTCACGTGTTCAAGTTGTCGGTCAAGAAGTACTATAACAACTAATCCAAAAATAATATCCAGGCAAACAATCCTAGGTTACACCAAGTGTACCGTACTTGCGTATTAAAACACGTCGTAAGATTGATTTAAAACGTCATATAGGACGATTTGTCGTAATTAAGGAGTGAAATGTGGTGGTACAGGCGCTGGAGTCCGAGCGGTCCGAGGCCCGAGCCTGTGCTGGGGGCACCCGCATATTCACCAAGTACAGTAGGACCTTCAATGCTCATTAGTCCACCAAATGTTTCCCTCCTCTGCTCATTGATTTCTAGTCAATGAATAAAATGGCTTCATTGATCTCATTCATGGCCAATACCAATTCCTTCTCAGCTTCAATCAAGCTCTTAAGAAAGTTTTGATAGTTCAGTAAACTCAATCAGGAAGAGTATTGCCTGTTTGCCTCTGGTATAAATGATGAGATCAATGTCCATGTGATGTCAACAGTCCCTGGATTACATCCTATAAAAAATTGGTTCTGAACAGCAATGTACAACTATGAAATGAAAAATGAATTTCTAGAGCTACTCAACTTGTGTACGGACATTTACAAGCTCTTAGCGGAAATCAAAAGCAAAAAGACTCCTTTGCTCGTCCGTTGGGTTCAACAACCACCTACAGAACATCCAAGCCGCCCCAACCACAGATGTAAGTGACAACATCGCTAAAACTCCGAAATGCGAAGAATCGTTGGCAACTATTGCTACTCCTAACATCACAGATTCTGCCAAGCTCGCTACAGATACCTCCGTCGTCCCGATAAGATTAGCTTTGGAAGATGGGATCCCGGTTTGAAGAATCTGTGCCCCAACCACGTCGTAGGACATGTGACCCAACCTTGACAATACCTACAAACAGCCCACATCAATAACATGGAAACATAGATAATTCTACTACAATGAGTTTAGCCACATGCATGCATGCACACTTTATTGCTCCCCTGCAGTGAGCATTGCATTGAGATATCATTTCAACCTGTTTACTTCTCATAGTTCGAAGGTTTGGAGATTCCTTTCACAGGGAAAAGAAAATAGAAGGGACAAAAAGAATAGATGTTAAGTTTTAGCCTTGTGAATGTAGAGAATGTGGGGACTAATAGATGTTGCGTTTTTGAAATTGATCTGAAGCTTTTATTGCAAACCTTATTACACTGCTTGATTAAATTCATGATTCTCATGTGGATATTTAGGCCTTTAGGTTCACATCGTGATATCTGTTTGATAGACCTCAAAAAGTAAGTTACTGATGAAGCCAAGGTTTTCACCATCCTCTAATAGATCCTGACTTAAGTTGACACAATAGTCTCTCAATTTCATTGCGTAAATATTTGAAGAGAAGTAGGATCCTTACGATCAACGAGAGGAAAAAGAGAAGAGGGCACTGCTGAGAAAGAGATCCACTCCAGTACACAGCTACAGCGATGCTAAGAAGTGAAG